CTGCTCCAAAAATCCAACAAATTCTTTGTCTTGGGATCACTACCAACTTGATTTTCCCAATTCACCTGCATATTGAGGTTCCCCATGATTATTAGAATAGTGCCTTTCCTACTTCTTGGTTTATTTTCCTCTGCACATCCCGACTACTGCTGGGGTGCTTGTATACAACCCCCATCAGGGTCCTTATATTTTTACAGTTCCTCAACTCAACCCACACAGATTCTACACCTTCTGACTCTATATCAGTTCTTGCTATTGATTTAGTTTCATTTCTTACCAACAAGGCAACCCCACCCATTTATCCATCTGCCTGTCTTTTCAATAGTCTGGGCATCCTTGGATATTCAGTTCCCACTGTTGATCCCCTTGCAACCACATCCACAAGCTCATTTATCTTGTTTTGTGTACTACCCACACCTAGAATTAAAAATCTAATGGTGACCATGAAACCATTGCCGACAATTGGGGAAACAAAAAACATCTGGCCTACTTAATGTCCTATAGGGAAGGAAATCTGTTATCGTTACCTGGTCTGACCTACATGTGACTCCAGACCCACAGCAATGTGGTTAACTATCAACTTGTTTCTGAAAGGCCCTAGCAAAATACTCAATTATATCCATTACTATGAAGTCTCAGCAAAGAAATGAAACTCGGATCACCTGGTATTGACCTTGGCATCAAAATAGACAATGGCAGAAAGCCCTCTGTTTACCCTGCAAAGTTGTCCTCATTAATATCTGGGGGTTAGTGCCAAAACTTGGAGAGCTGTCTCACAGACTAGTCAAGCAACAGCCTGACATAGTCATACTCACGGTATCATATCTTACACATAATGCCCCAGAGGAAGGGTCACCGGACCCGAAACGCTAACTCTGATTTCTCTTCACAGGTGCTGCCAGATCTGCTGAGCTTTTCCAACAACTCCTACTTTTGGAAAAAATTACTGCTGCTTTGTAGCCAGTTTGAGAACAGCAGGGATCTGCAAATACCAATTGTTCAGGGGCTTGTTAATAAGGCAGCATTGGTTCTGTAGTGCCTTCTTTATAGGCATAGAATGGAGGCAAGAAAGGCTAATTTTGGTGAAAACACCATCAAGTCAAAGGATCCCTGATCAAAGTCCAAGCTGCTATTGCTTTAAGGTTCAAGGCTTAGACTGATTTCAGATTATCCTGGGGTGAGGTGTGTACTGCTGACTCTGGGCCCCAAAACAAAGCACAGCTGAATTTCCATGCTTTTCTGCTTTGATGATGTTTGTTAACGGCTACACATTCACTGGGACATCAGGGAGACCATATCTGCTCAGTGAACTGCCACCACAGGATGTTTTAGATTGACTAATGGGACCCTGGTTAAACATGCAGTCTAGTCTGCACCCATTACCATGGATCACAACACAGAGCAGGATTTCAGGTCCTTGGTTTGGACTCTGATGTTAGTGTTAAATGAGGATCACAAGCCAGCATTGTGTGGGAAACAGTGACCCAGCAGGGACTTTACCAATAGGGCAGCCTATAGCCACAGCTGTAGCCAACAGGAGAGAAGGGGTTTCAAATCCTGAATAGATGGCTGGGTCTGTGCTTCGCTGCTGACACTATGGGAGAGTGTCTACACCGACTGGAATCAGCCATCCTGTAAATTAGTAACCAAGACCAATTAATGTCTCTCATTTGAACCTGAAGGAATGTTTCCAAGAGTATTAAAAGAAGGAACATTGAGATGGTGGGTGCACTTGTAGTCCTCTTCCAAGATTCTGGAAAAGTACTGGAAGGGTTTGAAAACTTGCCAATGTGACATCTTTATTCAGAATTGTAAAGAGACAAAAACAACTTACTACAGGGCAGTGATTTGAAAACCGCTAGATTCTGTTGTAGAGAATGTAACAGCAGAGCATCTAAAAATACTTAATATGATCAAGCAGAGTCAGCATGGCTACATGAAGGGGAAATAATGCCTGATTTATTAGAATAATTTTAACAATGGAGTAAGCAGGATAGATAAAAGGGGAAGCAGTGAATGCAATCTGTTTGGATTTCCAGAAATGTCTGAAAAGTCTCCTTAATTAGAAAAAAGCTGATGGTATTGGAGGTAAAATATTAGCATAGATACAAGATTGGCTAACTAATAGAAGACAAAGTTGAGATGGGGGGGCATTTTCAGGATGGCAAATTGTAATCAGTGGTGTGCCACAGGGATCAGTGCGGAGGCCATAAATATTTACAATATATGTTAATGACTTGGATGAGGAAAGTGAATGTACTGCATTCAAGTTTATGGATGACACATAAGTAGGTGGGAAGGCAAGTGGTGAGGATGATGCAGAGTCTGCAGAGGGATATGGACAAGTGAAGTGAATGGGCCTTTGTTACCCACAATTATACAAGGCACTAGTCAGATCACAGCTAGAACAGCTTTGTGACCCTTATCTAAAGATTGTTATATTGGCATTGGAGATAGCCCAGAGCAGGTTCATTAGCTTGATACCAGATTTGGAGGGACTGTCTTATGAGGAGAGGTTGAGTAGTTTAGAAGAATCATAGTTAACCTTATTGAAACAAATATGTTCTGATCAGATTTAACAGGGTTGACGCAGAAGGGTTGTTTCCCCTTGTAGGAGAGTCTAGAACCAGAGGGCAAAGTCTCTGAGTAAGGGATTGCCCAGTTAGGAGAGAGATGAGGAGGAATTTCTTCTCTCTGAGGGTAGGGAATCTGTGGAATTCTTTATAACAGAGGGCTGTTGAGGCTGGGCTGTTAAATATATTGAAGACTGAGATACGACAATTTTTTAAAATATTAAGTGAATCAAGGGTCATGGAGAAAACTTGGAAGGTGGAGCTGAGACTTATCAGATCAGACAAAATCTCATTGAATGGTAGAGCAGACTCAGTAGGCTGAATGGCCTATTTCTCTTCCCAATATCAGGTGATGGGTATTGCTTCTGACCCCCATCTTGGTTCTGGATAAATGAGCTGAAGGAAGGATCATACTGCTAGCTACTGCTTTCTATGCCCGTCCATACAGCACTTGAGAACCTGAAGCAGGCACATAAACACAGAATAATCCATTGTATTTCTAACAAAAACAGAATCATGCTTCATCAACACTACTGTCAGTAATGAGGACATTAAATAATTTTGAATGTATATAAACTATATCTAACAGCCTGGGAGCACAGGGTCTTTAGATTAATGTGATATAGAGAGATTCAGTTATGAGAAATTCCCCTTCCAGATTAATTCAATATCAATGTGCCAATTTCTTTAAGTGAATAGCACAAGTGTCAAGGGAAAACCCTCAGTGGGGCACTTTCAGTTAACAACAAGCAGTACGTCGAAATGTCCTGTTCTCTCCTCAGAGGAAGGAAGTGCATTGTGTCGAGTACATTTGGTGGAGTGGATTTGACAAATGCTATGCATGCACCCGGGACACAGGAGCTTAAATTCGCTGCAATGTCTTAACAGTACTACAGGGAGCTCCTAAAGCAGGTTCCCCAAATAAAACCCAATGAATACTTAATTGGATATGTGATTTATTCTGAGTGTCGTATGAGATTTTAAAGAGGCATGACTTCCTAACCATGCGGCAATAACTTCAGCAAACTCAAGAGACAATGTAAAAATGATTGAAGGCGTGTCAAATCTTACAAAGAGATTACAGGACAGAAAGAGGCCATTTGGTTAGTGTTTCTGCTTCACTTCAGCCTCTTTCTATCCTTCTTCATCCAGTTTTATCAATATAACCCTCGATTTCTTTATCCCTCAGGCATTTGTCTAGTTTTATTTTAATTGCATCTACACGATTCAACTCACCCATTTTGCGATAATGAGTTCTGCATTCTCACCACTCTCTGGGCGAAGAACTATCTTCTGGATTCCTAACTTGATTCTTTGGTGACTGTCTTATATTGACGGCCTCTAGTTTTGCCTTTTCTGACTTGTGAGTTCCCTCTCTGTATGTTGATGCTATCAAAAGTTTTCATAATTTTAATGGCCTCTTTGAAACCTTTAATATGGAGTTACAAGTGGTCCAAGATGGCAGTGGGGTAGGACTGCTGTGCTGGAGCTCGTCCACTCCAACTGCTTTTCTTTCTCTTTCTTTTTTTTTGCTCGCTTGTCTTTTTGTTACTTCCTTACCTTGTCCTGAGCTCGGACGGCATCGGCAGTGGGGAAAATCCAGCGCGTTGACCTTGAACGGTCTCGAGCTGAGCCCAGGGTGCAGACCTCTGGCAGGTCTAACGCAGACCTCATGCTGTCCCAGCGCGGAGGATAGTGAGCCCCAACTCACTTTCCGGGAGCAAGCACAGGACTTGGAATCAGCAGCGGCTACATCGGCAGAAGTGATGTCGGTGAGGTAGGCCCAGGGGAAAAATATGGTGCCTGAGGACCATCAACTTCATTGTTGGTTGGATCTGGTACTGGCAGCGGCAAAGTGGTGGTGCAAGGGCATCATGGCAACATCGATGAGGTGGACCCGGCAATGAGAGAAGCAACTCAGATGTTGGTTGATTTGGTGCTGGTGGTGGTGAGGTGGTGGTGGAACAGAATTGGCCTAAAGGCAAAGATGGCACCTGAGGATTGGGAATTTCAATGTTGGTTGGGTCCGGTGTAGATGGTAGTGCAGTGGTGGCAGAGGGATGGCAGCACAGGTATGGTGCTGAGATAGCCCAGGACTGGCTGATGGACTCTCTTCAAGCCATATCTTACTTTTTTTGATGTTATTCTTAAATTATTAAAAATGGCACCATATCGTGGTGACAAATGAAAGATTTTCTCTGTATTTTATTGTATTCTTATGTCAAATACACGTGACAATAAAATCAAAATAATATCAAGCATGTGAGATGTCGCCTGACTCCCTTCAGATCTTTAACAGAAACAGTTAAGCAACAGCTTTTGAGTAGAGCTCTGCACTGTTACACAAGTATTTTTGTGAGTTTAGAGTCGATGTTTTCATTGTGTCTTTAGCTGCGGGAAAAATGAAGTGAAAATCAAACCATTTACCTGAGCAAACACATAGTCATCTTGGACCACCAAGGAATTGTGATCTATATATCCTGGAAAGGGCTTGCTGCTTGCTGCTTCTGAACAGTTCTGAATTCTACAGGTAATATATTGAGCATCTGTCAATGAAAAACAGAGTGGAGATTATTTAATTAGAGAAATGAAAGACCTCAAAGACAAGCTAACACCATAAACTACTTTCGCCAAAAAACTTGGAGTCATTCTACTGTCATTATTTCCACACATGTGCCACAGAATTTTAACAAGGGGAGAAAAAAAAATGCCACGTGCAAAACAAGGGAAACAGAAAATGTCCCTCTCTACCTCCATTCCCCAGATGGTTTGAGAGCTCTCAGCTTCTTCCTCCACCAGAGGCCTGAACAGTCCCCATCCACCACCACTCTCGTCCACCTGGCTGAACTCGATCTCTCACTGAACAATTTCTCCTTTAATTCATCTCACTCCTGACAAGTCAAAGGAGTGGCTACAGGCACCCACATGGTCCCAGTTATGCCGGTCTCTTTATGGGCTATGTGGAACAACCCTTGTTCCAGTCCTACACTGGCCCTTCCCAAAACTCTTTTCTTGACCACTGCTTTGGTGCTGCTTCATGCTCCCACCTGGACCTTGAAAAATTTGTTCGTTTTGCCTCCAATTTCCACCCCTCTAAAACTTTCACATTGCCTGATTCTGACGATTGCCCTCCTTTCCTTGACCTCTCTGTCTCCACTTTGGGGAATAAACTGTCCACTGCCATCCACTGACTCCCATAGCTACCTTCGCTACAGCTACGTTCTGCAAGGACTCTATCCCATTCTCCCAGTTCCTTTGCCCATGTCACATCTGTTTGGATGATGCCACCTTCCACAACAGTGCTGCTGATATGGCTTGCTCCTTCCATGACCCTAGTTTCCTGTTCACTGTGGTTGACAGGACCTCTCAACTGTGTTCGACTTATGACATGTGCTTCAACTCTTGCCCCTTCCCATCTCTCACAACAGCGTGATTGGGTTCCCCTTGTCCTCACTTTTCATCCCACCAGCCTCCGCATTAAAAGGATCAATCTCCACCATTTCAGACAACTCCAGCAAATGTCACCACCAAACACATCTCCTCTCATTCCCCTGTCTGCATTTCACAGGGATCATTCCCTCTGGGACACCCTAGTCCATTCCATGACCATCAACACCACCTGTCTTTCACACAGTACCTTCCCATGTAACCGTAGAAGGTGCAACACCTTCCCACTTCACCTGCTCACCGTCCAAGGGCCTAAACAGTCTTTCCAGGTGAAGCAGCATTTCACCTGTACCTCCTCCAATCTTGTGTGTTGTATTCGCTGCACCCAATGTGGCCTACTCTACATTGAAGAAACCAAACGCAGGCTGGGTGACCGCTTTGCAGAACACCTCTGATCCGTGAGCAAGCAGGACCCTGATCTTCCTGTAGCTGGTCATTTTAACACAGCGTCCTGCTCACATACCCACATGTCTGTCCTCAGCATGCTGCAATGTTTCAGTAAAGCACAGCACAAACTGGAGGAACAAAATCTCATCTTCGGACTTGGCACTTTACAACCTACTGGACTTAATATTGAGTTTAACACCTTCAAATTGTGAACCAAGCCTCATTTCTTCCCTTTCTTATAGCCTTACTTGTTACATTCAGTGTCACCATGTCGTCCTCTCTCCCCACCCCACCCCACTGTAGCATAAACGTTGCCCTCTCCTCACCACGTCAGCTCTGATGGCAAATAGTCTAAACTCGAAAATTTAGCTTGCTCTCTCTCCATGGATGCTGCCTGACCGCTGTGATCTCCAGCGTTTCTTGTTTTCAACACATAACCTATCGTGTTTAAAGGGATTACATATCACCAACGTGAAGAGGAGGCAATTGGTAACAAGTTAAATAGCTTTTTTACTTAAACCTCATCCACATATCTCATTATTTTCCAGTGAATTTAAGTTCATTGTCTTGTTAAATTAAGTTTAACCACAACTTACAACTTAATCCACCTAATGCTTAGAATTTTCCTCCTCATTCATGTCTGAATCCATTATGGTGTTTCATCAGTGATTTGTACCAATTACACCTTGTAATGCAATGTCTTGCAGATTCATCTCAGCGTCCACTTTGCTTTGAGAATTGCCTCACACCAAAGAGATACGTTCAGTGACTGATCAAAGATTGCTGTTAAATCCTTTGCAGTCAGACACACAATCATTCTATTCTTGTTTCCTAAATCCCTTAAGATGCAGAATATATATCACTGAGAAAAGCCATTTGACCCAACAGATCCATGTTGATGCTTATAGTCAAAATAAATCTCCTCCAAGCCAACTTCATTTCATTTAATTAACATAACTTTTCATTCCTTTTTCCATCCTAATTTAATCTAATATCCCCTTGAATGCATCTACACTATTCACTTCAAATTGTTGCTGTAGTAGCAAGTGTTGCATTCTCACCAGACTGTGTAAAGAAATTTCTCCTGAATTCTGTGTTGGATTTATTAGTCTCTGTTCCAAAATTAAACAAATCATGATAGACGTACATAATCATAGAATCCCTCCAATGTGAACATCCTCCTTCATGTTTGTTTGCCTCCCCCTGGACCCCAGACCTGTTCTGTTGTTCCCAACACAACCAGTCCATTTTCAACTACTCTTACTCCCTGTTTGTTCCCATTCCACATTTATTTCTTTCCTGGCTTACTATCAGCAATCCCTTTGTCTCCTTTCCTTTCCTCTGTCTCTCTGTGCACTGTCTTCATCTATTTGTCTTACTCCTTGCTCCCTCCCCGCTCCCCTCTCCCACTGTAATATCACTGTTACCCAGCTGCTTTCAGTTCTGGTGTAAGGTCACTGGGCTCAAAACATTAGCTCGATGTTCCCTCTCCACAGATGCTGCCAGATCTGCTGAGTTTCTCCAGTACTTTCTCTTATTTTACTTGATTTGGACAATGACCTTCGGACTTAGGCCACAAATGCAAATCCCAAAACCTCAGTAAGAATTGTTATGAGAGAAACATTTGCTTGGAGTTAATCAGCACATGGAACTGAAACCCTGTGAAAAGAACTGTTTTGGAGTCAATTGACAGCCAGGAAAATTTAAATAGATGAACATCTATGGATAAGGAAGTAGAGTATTGATGCTTATAAAGACGCTAAAAGTTTCAAATGCTCCTTAATTTTAGGGGATTAGCAAGTTGTTTGGGAAGTCCATGATGAAGCAATAAAACACAGAATGTGGACAGAACGGGCCTAATTGTTGAATGATCTTTTCTCTTGTTCCTAGAAATTACATTCATAAAATCTATGCCATCGCATCTGGCTCAAAACTGTATTTCATGAAACCTCTATTTCCCAGAACTACAGTCATTTTACTTTGTGAGACTATACAATCTGCACGAATCTGTTCCTCCATAAATAACGGCCTCTGAAAAAGCAGTTCAATCTCTAAAACACAACAAAGTTCTTTGAATTGTGTTTTCAGTTCTTCATCTGTGCTACTAAACGATATCGGGACCAATGCATACACCACAGGAAGTAAGATTGACTTTATTTGGTTAGACTTGGCTAATCCACATGTTTATTGTATAAAAATCATTGGACTAATGAGACATCGATGCATTGTATCATGTATTTATATATTGATCCACAATATATCATTCAGTAATTCTTTATGGAGATGTTTTCTGAAAGAATGCAATCAACTCCCTACTTTACTACGTTACAATATTTCCTGCTAATTCATCAAATTGAATTATTTACAATTTTTATTCACTAATTAATAGTAGATATCAAACTGAGCAATAAACGTCTTGTGCCTATATTTCCTGAGAGTCAAGGTTATTTAAATTTAGCTAAGTTGTATTTTGGGAGGCTGCATGAAATGCATTCTGTTACAAGGCAAGGTGCAACTGAACCATTGTAATGGCGGGGAATGGGACCACCATGTTCAGTCTCTTATACAATTTCAGCAGAATGAAAGAAACCACTTTGAGTCCTGCAGTTTACCAATTACTGGTTTTATCTTATCAGAGTGAATAGGTATAGTTGGTTCATTGCAAACCAGAAGGAGTTACTGAATATTTGTACTGATTATGCAGTGCTGTGTTAAACAAATAGATAAAGAAAGTTAATTAATATTCCATACCAAGGAGGTAAAACAAAGGAAATCATGTTTTAGGGTAGTACAAAATTAAGACAGAGATAATTTGACAATACTGATGAAATAGATCTGATCGCCTCATGTCTCGGCACATAATTATGAAGCGTTCAGGTCAGGAAGAAAAGATTTTCATTTATGTAACATGTTTTACAAACTCAGAATGTCTCAAAGTACATGGAAATTATTTCAGTGTCACCAATGTTCCAATATAGTAAACACAGCAGCAAAATCCCACAAATTGCAATGTGATAATGACCGCATCATTCATTTTTAAGAATGTTGATTGAAGGATAATCAATGACCATAACTTAGCAGTTGTTTCCTTGAAGTTCATTAGTAAATAGCCAGTGTCTTTTCCCTGGGGTGGGGGAGTCCAAAACTAGAGGGCATAGGTTTAAGGTGAGAAGGGAAAGATTTAAAAGGGACCTAAGAGGCAACATTTTCATGCAGAGGGTAGTGCATGTATGGAACGAGCTGCCAGATGAAGTGGTGGAGGCTGGTACAATTACAACATTTAAAAGGCATCTGTATGTGTATATTAATAGGAAGGATTTAGAGCAATATGGGCCAAATGCTGGCAAATGGGGCTAGATTTATTTAGGATAACTGGTCGGCATGGACAAGTTAGGCCAAATGGTCTGTTTCCGTACTGTATACCTCTATGACTCTAGTGGACATGAAAGTCCCATTGCAAGAAAATGGGAGATGGAACCTCATTTTCACACCTCATCCAAAGGACAGCAACTCTGAGAGTGCGGCACACCCACAGCACTGACCCTATGACAGTGCGGCACTCCTTCAGTACTGAACCTCTTACAGTGCCCACCCCCTAAGTGCTGACCCTCTGGCAGTGAGACACTCCCTCAGTACTGACCCTCTGACAGTGTGGCAATCTCTCAGTAATGACCCTTTTACAGTACTCACTCAGTAAATACTGACCCTCTGGCAGTGCAACAATTCCTCAGTATTGACCTCCTGCAGTGTGGCACTTCCACATATTGACCCTCCAACAATGCGGCACTCCCTCAGTACTGGCCCTTTGACAATGTAACACTCCATCAGTACTCACCCTCAGACAGTGCCCACTCCCTCAGTATTAACACTTTGAAAGTACTCACTCCCTCAGCACTGACCCTCTGACAGTGTGGCACTCCCTCAGCACTGACCCTCTGACAGTGCGGCACTCCCTCAGCACTGACCCTCCGACAGTGCGGCACTCCCTCAGCACTGACCCTCCGACAGTGTGGTACACCCTCAGCACTGACCCTCCGACAGTGTGGTACACCCTCAGCACTGACCCTCCGACAGTGCGGCACTCCCTCAGCACTGACCCTCTGACAGTGCAGCACTCCCTCAGCACTGACCCTCCGACAGTGTGGCACTCCCTCAGCACTGACCCTCCGACAGTGTGGCACTCCCTCAGTACTGACTTTCTGACAGTGTGGCACTCCCTGAGCACAGACCCTCTGACAGTGCGGCACTCCCTCAGTACTGACCCTCTGACAGTGCAGCACTCCCACAGCACTGACCCTCCGACAGGGTGGCACTCCCTCAGTACTGACCCTCCGACAGTGCGGCACTCCCTGAGCACAGACCCTCTGACAGTGCGGCACTCCCTCAGTACTGACCCTCCGACAGTGCAGCACTCCCACAGCACTGACCCTCCAACAGTGTAGCACTCCCTCAGCACTGACCCTCCGACAGTGCGGCACTCCCTCAGTAGTGAACCTCAGATGTTGTGGTACTCTCTCAGTAGTGACCCTCAGACAGTACAGCACTCTTTGATCATTCGGATGGATTATGGATTACTGTCACTGAACTATTACAGGAGGAGGCCATTTGGCACCCTTCCACTCAACCACGGAAAGGCCATTTGTTTGCCAGTCCAGTGACATTACTATTTTGTCGCAACAAATGCTTAAACTATCTGACCAGCCATGTCTTTTTATGGCCCTAGGATGAAATTCATCTGTGCCCAGACACTTATCAGCCCACAATTCCAACAATTAATTCAGTATCAGTTCTCTGGTGATCATAATTTTCCTGAGATCCTCCTTCTCTACCATCTCCTGAATTAAAGATGCTTCAGGAATGTTACTTGTATCCTCCATAATGAGGAATCATGCAAAATACCTCTTCAATTGATCTGTCTTTTCCTTACATTTCATTATGAATTTTTCAAGCTCCTTTCTATCAGACCATCTCTTACTTTTCAAAATATTTTTTCTTTTAAATATTTATAGATTTTTTTCTATCTGGTTTTATATTTTTAGCATGCTTTCTCTTGTACCTTAATGTTTTCTTCCTTATTAATGTTCTAGTCATTCCTTGCTGCTTTGTCTAATCATCAGACCTGCCATCTGGTTGAGCACAATCACATGTTTGTTTCTTTAACCTTGACATGATCTTTAATGTTTCAAGTTAATTGCAGAATCTTTTGAACTTGTTGGAATGTATCTAGTCCACGTATTCTTAATATGCCCTTAAACGGTTTGCTTCTGCATCTTTGTAGATCTGTCCTTTAATCTATTCGTTTTATCTAGCTCTGCTTTTGTGTCCTCATTGTTGCCCTTATTTAGATTTTATCTTGTCAATCAATCTTATTTTTTATCAATTTTGTTTTCTTCAAACTCAATGTAAAATACAATCATATTATGGTCACTGCTATCTAGGAGTTCCTTCACTGTAAGATTATCAATTAATCCTTCTCATTGTATTATACTAGCATAGTAAGGAGAGAAGAAAAGTTAACCTTTACAATTGAGCCCTTTCATCATTATAACCTCTTTGGCAGTGTCTGACAAAACAACTTTCCATATTCTTGAGCAGGGGTCAGAGATTCTAGAATAGTCCAATTTTCTACAAGAGTTTAAAAAACATATACCTGCAAAGTACATGGAACTTATATAAATAATGTCTGTCAGAAAATCTGTTTTAAAAAAGACACTTTTTAAAGCTTGTCACATTAATGCCTGACTGATAATACTTAAAGGTGAAAGTTCATTGCATCTTCTGGTCGTGAAAAATCTAATTGAATGTGGTGCTCTATAAAAATCCTGGATTTTGTGTCCAGAAATGGCAACCATCAGGACTCTTGCTCCAAAGAGTAAAATTAGCTGAACTACAGACTCTTTAGGCACAGCAAATAAATAAATATCAAACACACAACAACAAATAATGAAAGACAGTGCTATACAATGCATACAATCCAACTGCAGGCTCACTGTTTGCAAGGTTCAAAGATCAGTTGCTAGTAATTTTTTGGTGCTGCTGTTGTACTGGAAACCCAGGGAGTTTAGTTGTGGCCTGCTGATTCCTGGAAATCACAATGGCACCTTGAGAGGCTGAGGTACTTAGCTAGCTATGCATTATAACCTGTTGCGCCTTTATTCACTGTTTGATGAAAAAAACTCACATCCAGCTGTGTTCCTTGCTTCAATGTGCACGAGGTCTGGGTCCTTGTCCAAACCCATCACAGACCTAGGAGAGCAGGAATGAAAACAGGTGAAATAAATAAAGTGAAGATATCTTTGTCTACTTATCTGACAGCCCCATTTGTGCTCATCTCCCATATCTCTCAGCGCAGACTATCACGAGCCATTGCTTGCACACAGGAAAATCAATGCTTCTGTTTCTGGTGAAGGGAATAATTTATCACTATTTCTTAAGGCAATGACTACCTGAGTGGGACCTTTATCTTTATTCAGTTTTCTTCGATTTAGAAGTGACGTAAGGAATATGCTAAAGGGAAATGCGGTTACATAGTTGTTGTTTACTGAAAGACATTCATCTCTGTTTAAACTGTAACTCTAGTTAGTGTGAGTCACATCAGGATGAAGCAATTATGACTAGAAACAGTCCAAATACAGAGCTTCACGTGAATTCTTGTAAGTTGAATCAGGGAGATATGAGTAGATATTTGCAATCAACCTGTTCAGGGATGTTATGACACATTTCTGCAGCAGGTGGGGCTTGAACCCAGTCCTCCTGGCTCAGAGCCAGGGGCATTACCACTGCACTACTGGAGTCCCCATAGGAAGCTACTTGTCAGAAGAAAGGTCAACTCAAGGACTCATCATGTTACAGGAAACAACAACACAGTTCACGAGATAACACCAAGAGCTGAAATACTGGGCACCTTGATAGATTCCCTTAGGAAATTATCAAATGATCCACTCTCACTCTATTCTGAGAAAGACAACATCGCACACATTTTGAAAGGAAGATCAATCCTCACAGGCCCTTCACGCGCAAACTCCTGCTGCAGCAGCAATAATTGGACAACTCTGTGTCATGAAATGCATTCTGTAAGAGTACATACAAGGTAATAAAAATACATTCAACAGCAAATAAAAATGAAAACTCCTTGCATGGCGCCCTTAGTGTAGTAAAATGAACTATATCTCAGTAAGAGTTATGCCAATTCATTTTTTGTCTCTCCTTTGTCTCTGAGCTACAGAAAGAGAAGTTTTTGAAAGAAATCAGGAGGCATGGGCTCGCGTCCCATCTACTCTATAGGCACATCATAAAATTTCTGAGTAGGTTGATTAGGAAAATATCGAAAACAGGGGATATTTGGAAAGTGAACCCCAGAGCTTAAGGCACAGTCACCAATGGTGAGAGATTAAATTTAAGAACAGGCAAATAGTCTTGAATTGTCAGTCTGAAGAAGGCTCCTCATATTTAGGGATGGATGTGGTGATCTTAAAATTCATGCATTGCCAGAAAGGGGAGTTTGTAAAGACCAGCAAGCAATGGGGTGTTGTGAGTGTTAGGTGAGAAGAAGTTAATAAAGGAAAGAAAATATGAGACCAGCCAAGGGGAGAACTGGAATAATCCAGCTTAGAGGCAGCTGAGTGGACAAAAAAATGAAATTGACTGATTTCAACGTTAGAAATCGGCATTCTTGGCAATAGCACACATTTGTGACATGAAAGCCATCTTGGTGTCAAACATAAAACTGAGATTGTTTCACTTGGTTTAAAACAGTTACAAGGGATAGAAATAATGTGGAATGAACAAGGTTTGCAGTAGGGAACCATATGAGTTTATAATCATTCAAACAAGGAACAACTGTTGGTACTCAGCCTTCTGAGCCTGCCCTGCTATTCAATATGCTCATGGCAGATCTGATTCTAGCCTCAGCCCTATATTCCTGCATATCCCTGATAATCTTACATCCCCTTGGTCATCAAGAATCTATCTACTTCTTCCTTCAAAAAATTTAAAGATTCTGTATCCAATGCCTTTTGAGGAAGGGAATTCCAAAGACTCACAACCCTCTGAGAGAAAAGGATGATTCCTCATTCTGAAGAAGGGTCTCGACCCGAAAAGTCAGCTTTCCTGCTCCTCTGATGCTGCTTGGCCTGCTGTGTTCATCCAGCTCTACACTGTGTTTCCTCATTTCTGTTTTAACTGCGCTACCCCTTATTTTTAAACAATAATCCCCGGTTCTAGATGCTCCCACAAGGAGAAACATTCTCTTCACATCCACTCAGCCAAGACGGTCAGGATCTTGAAAGTTTCAATTAAGTCACCTGTAACTTTTCGAAATTCTAGAGGGTACAGGCTCAGCCTTTCTAGCTTTTCCTCATAAGGCGATTCTCCTATTACATGTATTAGTCTATTAAATCTTCTCTGAACTGTTTCCAATTAATTAACATTCTTCCGTAAGTATGGTGACCAGTGCTGTACACAGTACTCCAAAAGTGGTCTCACCAATGCCTTGCATAACTGAAGAATAATATTCCTATCCTTGTATTCAATTCCCCTCACAATAAAGCGTACATTCTATTGGATTTCCTGATTAATTGCTGTATCTGGCTTCAGTCTTCCCAATATTTAGTTGAACAAAATATTTTTTCATTCGCTATGAAATGTCGAACAAGTAGTGCGGCAAATGGGAGGCAGCTGGAGTCTGATGAGATAGAGCTTCACCTGTCATCAGAACCCACATGAGACCTGATGCTATGCTTTCAGATGAAATTATTGAGGGACAGGGTGTTGGTAAGAAATACAGGAGACCAACCATTGCTTCCTATGGAGTTTTGGAGGTAACAAAGTAAGAGCAGGCAGAGAAGTCAGTGTTGGTCATTCTCTGGCTCCGATTAGAAAGAGAAGAATGGACTCAAGCTAAAACATTTCCATTGACTTGGACAAAGGAGGAGAGACACTGCAGGAGGATGGGATCGTCAACTGTGTCCAAATATGCACAATATGAGACAATTTTTCACGAAGATGGAGAGTGATGTAGTTGGTTCTGAGACTCGGGTCCTGAATCTAAATAAAGGAAATCACAATGGTGTAAGGTGTGAGCTGTCTATGATAAAGGACATGGATTAAAGAATAAAGGATTAAAAGAGGGAAACTAGAGTATGAGAGTACGCTTGTGGGGAACATACAAATTGATTGTAAAAGCTTCTATAGGTAAGTGAGGAGAAAATGAAAACATCTGGAGGTCTCTTACAGTCAAAAAGAGGGGAAGTTCCAATGAGGAACGAAGAGATGGCAGACCAGAACATGTTAAAGGACAAGGAAGAAGAGGTCCTAAAATTGTTGAACTCAATATTGAGTCCAGAAGGATGTAGGGTCTCCAAGTAGAAAATGAGATGTTTTTCTTCCAGCTTGAGCTGAGCTTTGCTGGAGCTCTTCAGCAAGCCCGAGACAGAGATATTGGCCAGGGAACACAGTGGAGTGTTGAAGTGAGTATAAGTATTCTGCAAAGCTATTGCGCAGTGTACGTTTTGTCTCCCAATGTAGACAAAACCACTTTAGAAAGTAGTGAATACAGTACACTCTTTGTTTTTTGTTTTAGTTTCAGATTTCCAGCATCTACAGTTCTTTGTTAGAGATTAAAAAAAACTCCAGATGCTGGAAGGTAGACGAACAGGAGGCTGGAAGAGCACAGCAGGCCAGGCAGCATCTGGAGGAAAGGAGCAGTCAACGTTTCGTGTATTACCCTTCTTCAGGAGAGCAAAACCCAAAACGTTGACTGCTCTTTTCCTCCAGTTACTGCCTGGCCTGCTGTGTTCATCCAACTTTCTGTTTATCCACAGTTCTTGTTTTATTCTAGTGAGTAACTCTACAAACCTGTTCTCTAGACACTGTAAGGATTATGCCTACATGATGGAGCACTGCACGGCTGTACGTTTCTGACATGGTACACTTTCTGAATAGAATATCTAAATTTCCATGCATAGAAATGTATAGAAATGTTTCATACTGACTTCCAAATAGATTACTGCATTCCCAAATGGTGCAGGGATCCAATGATCCCTTTGAAAAATCACATTCTTTTTAAAACATGCATTCTTAGGCAAGGAATTGCCATAGTGATAATTTCTTTAAGAAAATGGTTAAAAATAGAAATTACACAAAGTAAAAGTTTCAGGGAAGTAGAGATGATGCCTCTTTCTGTTACTACACCATTGCCACCTTCACTGGCAGATCTAAAACAGCTGTAGTTCATTCCTGATGGTAAGTGCCTGCCCAGGGATGAATCAGAGAAAAAGAGGGCTCCTGCTTCAGCTCCTGTTAGCAGGATAGAGATCTACAGAACAGACAAATGGCCACCCATGGCAACCCATTCTGTTAAAAACGATTCTAACTTTAACCACAGTGACAGGAGCAAGACTGAGCCAGGGAGCTTGGAAATCAACCAGCGTTCCTCTTCAGATTGGGATCAACCAATTCTGAATGTGTGTGTATGTGAATGTTGGTGAGGAACAGCACTGGATTCAGCCATGCTATCTAACTCATATTTGACTACCAATTGAATATTCCACCAGTAAAAGGACAAATGCAACATTGAAGTATTCATTTTTCCAAACTTTAGCTTCAGGGTAACATGATCTGCTTAACTGTTGAACAGTCATGTAGGAAGTACAATTTATCCTAATAATATTCACAATAGATTTATTCAATATTACAACAGACAATTGGTGGAGACAGCTCGAGTGATCTTCCTTTGCATATCCATATTTTCTTTTACTACTTCATCATCGTAACTTAATATTAAAGGAGAGTTTAATTAAGGGATTGGCCCATGGTTTGAAATGTCAGTTGGTTTTCAAATAGTGGTTCACATACACTTGGAGTGAAAAATCACTTTGCTTTTAAATTTCTTTTATTGAAAAGCTTTCAGAATGAATAGTAAAACTTACCCTCAGGGGCTTAGATTTGCAAACCATCAACACTTCACTGTATATCTCGTATCATAAATCTTACACGTGCAAGATAAGCCCCAGGAGGCATTTTCCAGTGTTCCTGGTTATGGCTTTGACAGTTCTTGCAGAATTACATGACTGCTGCTTTTAGCAGTAGTGGGAAAAGTGTAATAAAATGACTTTGTTTGACAGCTTAAAGAAATCAAGGAAGGAAACCAAGCTTCCCCTTCAGTGTTCATCTCTGCAGAGAAATAACACACTCCAAAACAACTAACTCTGATGTGATGAGTCACAAAGAAAATATCTGACAAATTT